TCTATTTATTTATTTGACAGAGAGAGACACAGCGAGAGAGGGAACACAAGCAGGGGGAGTGGGAGAGGGAGAAGCAGGCTTCCTGCTGAGCAGGGAGCCCAATGCGGGGCTCGATCCCCAGGACCCTGGGATCATGACCTGAGCTGAAGGCAGACGCTCAACGACTGAGCCACCCAGGTTCCCCCTGTTTTGTTTTTTTTAAAGATTTTATTTATTTGCCAGAAAAAGCACAAGCAGGGGGAGTGGGAGAGGGAGAAGCAGGCTTCCCGCTGAGCAGGGAGCCCGACTCGGGACTCGATCCCAGAACCCTGGGATCATGACCTGAGCCGAAGGCAGACGCTTAACCGACTGAGCCACCCAGGCGTCCCACGGAGGTGATGTTTTTATCGTAAGACATTGCTCTTGCCTTGCCTTTCCTTAGCTTCGTGGAGAGAGACCGCAAACAAACAGTAACAGCCAGTCTCCATCTGACCAGGGAAAGAGCATGGCCTGTCATTAGGTGAGACTGAGCCAGGAGGAATCCTCCAGGAGGCCGGCAGTGCTCCCCATGGCTGACCCCACCGCTCATTCCACTCCAAGGGACAGGTCCAAGCCAGCCAGACATTCCAGCGCCCTTGCCAGGGCCAGCCCATCTCAGCCCGGGAGGCCTGTTAAATGTAGATGCTGGACCCCACTCTCAGAGCTCTGGATGTAGCAGGTATGGGGCGGAGCTCAGGAACCTGCACCTCTAACAAGTGCCTGAGTGCTGCTGGTCCAGGGACCATACCACACGGGCCGCTGGTTTGGGCCCAGACTAGTGATCCAGCCGCGGTCAGTGTGAGGAGACCCTGCCGAGGAATGTCTGCGGAAGGCTGCTTGCTGACAAGGAGACACGAGAGGACCCCCTTCATCCTCTGGACCATGTGACGACAGATGTTCTTTTATCTGCTCTGTCCAGTACGGCAGCCGCTAGTCACAGGTGGCCAGAGGGCACCTGAAATGCAGCGAGTGTTACTGTTGAAACTAGAAGTGTTCGTTTTAGTTCATTTTCATTCATCTGAATTTGAACAGCCACCTGTGGCTAGTGGCTCCCACAAGGGGCCGTGTAGCCACGGACACCGCCAGGTCTAGATGTGATAGCTGGAACTGCGGCTACAGATGCCCTGCCATCAGCCCGAGAGCCAGACACACACACAGGCTCACAGAGCCACGTCCCGGGGTACTCAGCCCACCCTCAGCGGCCTCTTACTATGTGAGAGCACGCAGTTGTCTGTTGTTTAGGGCGGGGTGAGCAGGTATTCCTATTGCTACAGCCAAAGGTCTCCTGGCCGATGCAGCCACGAGGACATTGAAGTCAGCCTGCAGAAACGTGGGGCTACTCACCCCAAGGATGATGTCAACTGCTGGCATAAGAACAAGAGAAGCAAGACTTGGGTCCCAGTGAGCTGAAGAGGGTCTGACGCGAGGGGATGCAACCAGACCCGTCAGCATTCAAGATCTGGGCACCAACAACCATGGCTCAGCCTACGACAGGAAGCCCACAGCCCTACCTTCTGCCTGCTTGCCAACTAGCATCTGGGGACACTGCTGACCCCCCCGCTCCCAAGGACTGAACCCAGCCTCAGGTACATGTGGAACCAACCGGCGGGGGGTTGACATGAAGCTTCTTCCAGAAGATGCAAAGGTCCAGCTGCATAAACTCTATCTTCCTGCTCCTCCTTAAAAATTCCACTATTAACAATAATTGCTGTGGTTTAAGTTAACACCTCTCTCTTTGGAGAGACTAAAATGCAAACGTTCCTAAGAAAGGTACCACTTTAATGCCCAAAGCGTTGATGTGATGAGTTTGTCAGCTATCTGTTAGATCACTGCACTTGTCCCCAAGGGTGAGCATGAGAGAGGCAAGAGAGGTGCACTCAGGGTTCAACCGCTTCGGTTTTACAAAAGCCCATGTTGCTGCTCCACCCATCCGGACTGCCCCACCCCAGGGGCTTCCTGGGGGCCAGGCCCATGGTCGAAATTCCAACAACCCTATCATTCGGCCTGCGGACTCACAGCAGGTGGCACACAGTAATAAAGACTGAAGCTCTGACCTGTGGTCCCAGAAGTGTCCTCCCTGAACCCTGGACAGGGATGAGGGACCTATGCTGGCCTCACTGTGCCCTCCCAAAAGTGTTGAAATCCTGACCCCCTCATAAACGTGAATGTGACCTTATTGGAAACCACAGTCTCTGCCGACGATCAGGTGAAGACAAGGTCAGCCTGGAGTAGGACGGGTGTCCCTTTGAAAAGAGGAGATGTGAAGACAGATACACACACGGGGAGAACACCATGTGAGGACAAAGGCAGAGACTGGGATGACACATCTACAAGTCCGGAACATCCGGTCCAAACACTGCCAGCACCCCGGCGAGAGGAAGGACAGAGGCCTGGGACAGACCAGCCCCGATGCCAACAGACTTGGGGCCTCCAGAGCTGCAAGAGAATGCAGTTCTGCTGTATGAGCCACTCCGTCATGGCAGCCCCAGTGAACAGTGCCCTACCTCCCTACTGCTACCAGTCTCACTGGGCTGACCTCCCTCACTGTATTCACTCACAAAACCGTGTCCCCCGTGGGCCCTAAGATCCACAGGCACTGGGACCACATCTGCCCCAGTGCCCACACACTCCAAGCCCAGCAGAGGGGCTCTGTAAGTGTCCGTCGACTTAACACATGAAAGGTCTGCCCCCAACTGGGTCTGGAGTCCCTGGCAAGAGCATCTATTTCCCCATCTGTCTATGTGCAGGAGATAAAATAATTGGACCGGATGACCTCCGGGGGCCCTTCTGACTACAGAAACTCCAGGACTCTCCACTGAAGGTGTACCCATCCATCAGGGTCACATCGGGACATGAGAAACAGCACGGAGGGTGTTAAACAGAGGGCACGTGACGCAGGAATGGGTACCAGAGGTGTGGGAAGGCTGGGAGACCAGGACAACCTTCCTGCTGGGAGTCTTCAGTGAAGGGAAAGCAGAACCAGCTGTGGGCTTCTGGAAACACATGGACGGGCTACTCCTGTCCCCAAGGCAACAGGAGGCCCAGGGGGCTGTTCCTGCTTACAAAGGACAGTCCCCAAAGGGGCCATTCTCATGGACAGTGGTCACTGAGGCACCAGGTCGGGGGCAGGGGAGACAACAAGCTCACTGAGAAGTCCCATGCCCTGACAAAGTAAAGGAATGGTGAGACGCAGCCTCCCCCAGGACCTGCCAGCACCAGATTCCTGCCCTCCTCCATTAGGAGGACGTGCTGCTGATGGGAGAAGGTGGGAATGGAATCAACAGAAGATGGCCCCATGAATGATCTGACAGGTGAGGCCGACTTGGGGCTACCTCGGCTCACACCCAGCACCCCCCCGACCTGCCCGGTGCCCTCCAGGAAGGAGGAGTGCCCAGGTGGTACTCACCCACACTGCTGAGGGAGCTGCTGCTTTCTGAGTCTGAGGGCATGATGGACAAGACGCTGTAGGTGGAGCCTGGGGAAGAAGGACAGACCGTTTGTTACTAACCCCAAACTACTGTCAGACCAACTGATCTTCAGTCAGCGCCAGACTGAGAACCAACACCACGTCAGGGACTAGAAATCGGATCTGCGGGGTCAGGCAGGTGTGGTCAGCGGGGTCTAGTCCGTGGTATTTCTGCCTGGCCTCTCACCTGACCTTCCCACCACCCTCCTGCCCTGGAAACTTACCCACGCACAGAGAGGAACTCGGAGCCAGTCAGCTGGCCTCTCCTTAAGACATCTGGGGAAAAGCTTAGCAAGGGAGCAACATGCCCCCAGGTTAAAATAGGGTCTGGGGATTTCCTCCAGATCTTTACCAATGTGATACTGGCTTCCATGCAGAGAGCAACAGAGTATAAGTTAAACATCTACGAACTATTTGTTCTTTTTGCCCAACTGTTCTGCTCTTGGGTTCTGACTGTATTCAAGCTCGGTCCTTAATAATTTAGTCAGTGACTGCCCCCTTACTAAAAGTTATTCATAAAATTATGAGCAATTACACTGTCACCAAAGCCAAGGAGCAGTCCGTGCTCCCTTTTTGGCCAACACTTAATGTTGTTAACTCGGTGCTGGACACACAACTGCGTCACACCATGGTTCAGTTTGAATTTGAGTATTTTCTAAGCTAAGGAGATTACCCGCCTGGCATCGGTATAACCTCTGGGTCAAGAAACCCCATTTCCGAAGCAGCTCTCGTCCACACATGAGTAGCTGGGTCACACTGAGCAAGTCGTTTGTTTTCTGGAAGTCTGCTCCCTGGCCTGTACGGGGAAGGGGTTCAACCAGATGGCTTATAAGGTCCCATCTCAGGATTACACTTACCCCGATGGCATGCTTTTCCTGTGACTACAGGTGACACCAAGTTAGGAGGGAGAACTGACTCCAAGACTATCTTGGGAACGGAGAAAAGCACCACACGCACAGACGGTGGGTCAAAGAAAACAAGATAACGGCAGGAATGCAATGTTTTGTCCTTGGAACCAAAAGAACTACAGAGGGAAGAGGTGTGTGCACCGGGCAGGGCAGGGCGGTGAGCGGTGAGCTAGAGACGGGATTTTTGCAGTAAAGCCTTTGAACAAGCCTCAGGGCTCTGATGAGGAAAAGCAGCCAAGAACTAATGAGATCTAAGGCTCCGGAACCAGAAAGGTGGGGGCCGGATTTAAGGTTTCTCTCCCACCTCAACTCTTGACTAGCTACCTAATACCTGCACACCCTCCGAAGGGACAGCGAAGGGATGAAGAGTTGGGGGTAAGCAGGGCAAAGGAAGGAGGAGACTTGTGGGGGCAGGGAGGGAGGAGACCACCAGGGTGACAAGAGACCCCGAGCAGAGGAGCAACCTCAGGGGGAGGAGATGTAGGGCAGACAGGCAGGCAGCCCTGGTATACTGGTGTGAGGGGAGCTGGCAGCCGTGCCCCCTAGAAAAAGAGATGAAGGCAGAGAGCAAAAAGGAAAAAACAAGGAAAAGGGACTTTGGTAACGGCGAGAACTAGGACAGTGGCCGGGCATGACTGGTGGCCTCATTATCGAATTTTCTGAGCCTCTCTTGAGAACCTGTGGGTGTTATGTCATTATATATTTGTCCAAACCCCTGGAGTGTGCACCACCACAAGTGAACCCTAATGTAAACTACAGGGTCTGGGCGACAAGGATGTGTCAGCGTAGGTTCATCAATGGTAACAAATGTACCACTTGGGTGCGGGATGTTGATAGTGGGTGAGGCCATACACGTGTGGGGGTGGGGGGATACGGGAATTCTCTGTGCTTTTCCCCAGTTTTGCTGTGAATCTAAAAGGCTCTTAAAAAAAATTTTTTTTATTAAAAAAAAAAAGAACCTGTGGATGTTTTGCATGGATTGAAGAGGATGATTTCGGGAGTAGAAGACGGATGATCTGTCTTCAGATAGGACTGTCAAAGGGATCCATCTGTGCCATCCGGCCTCCAGGAGCAGGACCCGCCACGGCAGGGAGGGGCTGGAGAAAACCGCGGGTGGGGGCGCCCAACTGTCAGGGCTGGCTCCGTCTGAAGAGACCTGGGAAGGGCGGGGACCTCCTCAACGCACACCTCACTTCACAGAGGCCCCCTGCCACCTGGCCCGGAGGCCACATCACTCGAAGGGAGAAGGAACCAGAAAACCCCATTCAGCCCTGAAATTCCTTGATCCCACCAAAAAATGAAGAGCAACGTTCAATGAAATACCTCCTGTATTTCAAGTTCCACCCACACGATTCATTTTGCTGTCCATTCAACAACAAAACAATGAGCGCCACCGATTTCTCCAATCATCTCTCTTCCCACACCATGAACAGTAGTAGGCATTGCATAAGGATCGGTGAAGTAATGTCAGGTAGAATTCAGGCACTCCGTTGGTATCTTCAAAGGACAAAAACGTCAACACAATGCCAATTTTCTCAACTCAACTGACAGTGTCTTAATTATTTTTTTCTTTACAGGGACAAGGAAGGCTAGCCAGCTGGTATGTTGGTGGACTGTTTTTGAAAGATGCCCACTCAGAAAAGCAGGCACAAATAAACTCTCCCACTCACACCTCCCAGATCTCTGAGCTTGCGACACCACGGCCCGCACACCGACAGCCGCTCCCTGCAGGAACGCCTTGCTTCTTCCTCACTACGGGCATCAGCAGAGCCCCATCTTCCAGTAAAGCACCCCTCCTCATCAAGGCGTCTCTCTCCTCCCCCATGGCCAGTTTCCACTGTTAATTAAATTTGGCAGACATCTCTGTCTCTCTCCACCCATCTCCCTCCCTGGCTGGGGGAGTCAATTCACCAACCAACACATTCTGTTCTTCTTCCCTGTCTCCAAAGCCCTGCCGAGGTTCTGGGGCATGACCTGGGGGCGGCATGACATCTCTATCTGCATCTCTGGGCATCTCTGGGCATCTCCGCCCCTGAGTCGGCTGGCAGAGCTCCTAGGAGCTGGGAGCTGGCAGGGAGTGATGAAAATTGGACGGGGCCCAGTTTTTACAATGTTCCCAGGGCCTTGGACGTCATTCAGAGGGAAAAAAAGGCCCGAAGACAACGTTGTCTTGGTCATGCTTTGTCTCTGCTGCTATTGTTGTCTTAAAAAGCCTATGTGGTCAGGATGTCGGAAAGGGCAAGAGGAGACACTCTCCTCCAAAGTCACGCGGTGTCCTTTCAAAGCCGGTGGCTTCAGAAGGGCGGGCATCAGGCGTCATCTACCTCTGGGGTTTCACAATAGAATCTGGAGGCCTGCAGGAGTCTCATCTCATGGGTGCACACTTCCCAGCCCCCCACAATTTCCTCAGGAGCTCCACGAAGGCACCCGCACCCCACGTGCCCTGAAACCTAAGGCATGCGCTCCACCTGGCACAGAGGCCCAGACTACCGAGGGCTGTGGAATCAGCCTGGCTCCCCGACTGGCACTGCCCCCTCTCCCTCCCCATGTGCCCCCCCACCCCCGCACAGGACAGCCGGGCACTGCCACTCAGAGTGTTCCCACAAACCCAGGCAAGCCTGTGCACAGGTCCTGTTAGGACCCAGAAGTCAGGTGATCTGGAAACATTTCCAGGAAAGGAAAACAGAGCATGAGCCTCGATTTTTTCATGGACGTGTAACCAGACAGGGACACGAGGAAGGTCTCTATTGCCATTGGGGCTACTGGGGGACCCAAGCAAAGTGCAGGTTCTGATGTGGGCAGATGAGGGAGGCCTGAGAATCTGCATTTCTAACAAGCCCCCAGGGCATGGGGGTCCACAGAATAAATGCAAGGCAGCAGGGCACCAAGGTTCACCAGAGTCATCAGGTGGGAAGCCAATGTAAGCTATGGCAGAGGCCGTGAAACAGAGCCGGCAAACTCTGGGACCCATGCATTGTCTGCATCCTTCCCAAGAGCCCAGCCCCTGCTAATTGTGTTTACTCTGTGACTCAGCCCCACTGGGTCATGGAGACCACTTCAAAAGAACTTCCAGTAAAATCACCCGAGCGACAACAGAATGCCCCAGCCCACAGCCTGTGAGGCCCAAGAGAGAAAAACTTAGCTTGTCACCTAATACACCCCTCCATTCACCTGGAGCTCATAAAGGCCCCGGTGACTCACGCTTCCTCCCCATGAAAACTGTAAGCATCGAAGGGACTTGTTCCAGCTTTGAGCCACTCCCTACGCTCCGGGAGGGCGAAGAGAGGGTGGCCTGCCGCACGGACCTGAGACAGCTCCGGATCACTGGGAGCACACGCGAACCAGCCCCCCCAAGCACTGAAACTGATAGCTGTACTAGAGTGACAAGGTCAAACAGGGCAGAATGACAGACTGACAGACTATACAGTACTCTAATAATAATAATAATAATAGCAGCTAACAGACACTGAGCATTATTAAGTGTCAAGTTGCGCTAAGCACTTGGCATGCATTGTCTCCGTGAATTCCTAAAACAACCCTGAGGCTGTCATTAGGCCCATTTTACGGAGGAGAAAACTAAGGGTTAGGAAAATTAAGAAACTTGCTTAAGGTCTTGATAGAGCCAGTAAGAGTATGAACAAGATACAAGCCCGGTTTAGCCCAAAGTCTGCACTCTTGATCCCTATACCCAACACTGCTGCTGGGCTCTGAAGGTGGAAGGGCAGTCAAGGGAGGCTTCATGGAGGAAGCAGCCTGGAGCTGGCCCTGGAGGATGGTGAACTTGGACAAGCATCCGAGAAGCCAACTCAGCCTGGAAGAAACACAGGCAGAGCCTGTCCCCCTGTGCAAGTGGAAAGTCTCAGAGCAGAGCCAGCCCTGCTCTGGACCAGCACCCCCCCCAACCGCCAGAAGGGGCTTGTGCCCTTCCTGTCCTCCTTCCCCCACCAAGAGGACACTCAACAGCCATTGTTGAGATGGCACTGCTGAGCCAGAGATGGGGACGAAAACTGGCAAGAGGGTGAGAGGAGCCATGGCTCCATGGCCCTGACATGCACCGCTGCTTCCTGCTGCCCCAACCCCCGTGTCCATGCTGGGTGCAGA